CCCAAAATTTCATTTCCTTTATCAACCGCCTCTCCTTCATTAGCTTGAAAAACGGGGTTGTTCTGTAAGTTAGCCATTTGTTCTTCTTGTTGTTGACATGCTTCTCTATTTTCTCGTTGCAATCGGTGAAAGGTTCGCTCAATTTTAAGGTCTGTTGGAATTAATTCTCCTCCCGTTGTTGTAGACATGCAACTCTGTGAGAAAATCAATGGTAGCACTCAGATTCAATCAATATAAATAACTAAATAAAAATAAAACAAAATGTCCAAATGAAAGCAAATGAATAAATAAAAATGAAAATTGAAAGTTTGAATTAGTGCTTAGAAAGAAATAAAGTTAAACTAAACTCAATCCCCGGCAACGACGTCAAAAACTTGTTTACAAAATATTTTCTTTCTATTTAAATCACCGCAAGTGTACGGTTCGTTAACAAGTAATAAAGTGGATCAATTGAGTCCGAATATTGTCCCACAGAGATTGATTAGTTTAATTTTACCTAACTTGGCCTTAATCGAAACTGATTTGTCAAACGTGAATTGTAGTGATTTAAATTAACCTTACTTGGACTAAATATGCAAATATGTATGATTTGAATGAACTAGATTGCAAAGTGAATGTGTTGAATGCAAGTTGATGGACTCGACGAATATAAAAGCGCACTAGGATCATGAATCCCCAAGCAATGCTTAATTTAGCCTTAATTCCACACTTTGACGACACCATGACATTTTGAAGAATCAATACTCCTAAATCTATCCAACACTCTCTCTCGAGATGAATTGAACCTATTCTCATACACCACCAGCCTATATCTCTATGACGGATGCAAATATATGAGAATGCATGTAGTTTTGTGAGTATTTAGAGATTCACGCAAAGCATAGGGGTATATTTCTATCCCCTATCGGACCCTACGATGATTTATACCTTGTTGAATTTATTCTTCTTTTTTCGAATAGATGAAACAAACCACCAAAACTCACAAAATTACGAGCCCATAATTGTGGAAGCAATTAAATGCATATACATCATTCAAAATAATCAATACGTGTTTTAGTGTCAAAATACAGAACAAAGAATTAAATATCACATTACAAGGTTCATCGATCTTCTAGTATAGATTTTTCTAGCCTAACATGATGGGAAGAAGAACATAACAATAAAAATCAAGAAAAGACATCACCCTATTAAAATTCTTGAAGTGAGATCTTGAATCTTGGATTGAATCTGGTGTATGTTTTTGGACATCCCTAGGGCTTTTAAAAGACTCCCAACATTTGTTTCCATAAGAGTTATAATCAGAAAAGGAAACCAGAAAATTTTCGCTGCAATTGGCCTGGGCTGTCGCTCAGGCAAAACCCTGGCTGTCGCTTAGGCCAACATTTTCTTCTCGGTAATAAAAAAAACATATGGGGCTATCGCCCGATTTTTATAACTGGGCTGTCGCCCAGGCAAAAATTCTTCCATATGTTGCATTTTATCCCCCGAAATCGATTTTTTATTCTTTCAAGCCCTTTCTCTTGCAATTTCAACCCTTTGACTTTCATTTGCATCCAATTGAACCCACAATATCTTTAATCTTCATTTTGTGATCCGAATCAACTATTAAAATGTTGCAACTTAGTTCTCATACTTTGAATTTTCTTCCTTTTTGGTTCTTTTTCGTTTCTTTTCTCTTGAACTACACCACATTCATCAATATAATCCTACAAAACATAATTACATAGAATTAATCCATAATTCGAACTCTTTGATTATAATCAAGTCATGTTTGTAAACTAAATAAGTTTGTAAAAACATACTTATCTACCATCGACCCCATCATACCACAATACAGTGACCAAACAGAATTTAGCAATGGATAATCGAATATATCTCCTACTTATATTGAATCACATCTCTTACTTGTTAGCATGCTTCACTTTTCGTGGTAAAAACATAGTGAATTAACTGTGGATGCACTACTATCTCACTACAATGCATGTAGTAAAGAAACGTGTTTTCCAAAATGTCCCTCTGGGAAGTAGTGAATTTCATCACAAAGTGCTTGATGAAAATCTGTATTATGGTTGTACTGATCTTTCGAGAGAACCAATTCCTTAGTTTTATTAAATATTTTGAGTCCTGCACAATCGTAATGTCAGACATATTACTGTGAGCTTCACACAAACATTCATCGTGACAAACATATCAATATTCAGGTCATTAATAGTTGGTCAAAAATTCTCCAAAATCATAACACATAATGGTAGATAGTCAACAACACATATTTCATTCACGAACAATCCGACATACTTTAGAAAACATATTAGTGCACATAAATAGTAATCGATCAAATAGTATACCAAAATAGTTGGTGCACGTAAACATTTCACTACGAACAACAAATCCATATTCCTTCATTAATAGTTGGTCACAAATTCTCCAAAATCATAACACATAACAGTAGATAGTCACAACACATTTCATTCACGAATAATCCAGCACAGTTTGGAAAATCACTACACGTAAATAGTAATCGATCAAACAGTACACTAAATAAGTCACAAACTCTTCAAACTACAAAATACCCAAAACAGGTCACTAAATCATATTTTAGTCGCAAAATACCCAAATCAGGTCACAAATTAGTCAAAAATAGGTTACAAATTTCACAAATCATGTCACAAAATCAGATTTTACATTCTTCATGGATTTCCACCAGATGCCGACATTTTGACTCTCTTTGCTAAAGACGAATCTCCGACAACTTTTTTCCTCTTTCATTTATCCTTCACTTTGTATTCACATCAACACTACGAGTTCTAACCATTTTAAATGCTACTATGGTTGAAGCAAAAATGTAATATGGCGATTTCATGATGAATCTCTGATGATAATGGTGATGATTGGGAGTTGTATGAAGATGCATTGTGCGGTTGAAAATGGTAGAGAGAGACATGAGTTCCGTATGGTAAAGAGAGATGTCGGTTTTCATATTGTATAGAGAGAGGGAGAAAGATGTTTTTGTATATGGTTGGGAGAGAAGGGGACATGGTTTGAATGACATGAATAAGTACATAGAGAGAGAGACGTGGTATGACATGTATCGTGCAGTTGAAAAATGTGAACGGTTCAGATTAGATCCCATAAATAAACAGTTAGCATAATAAATTTGTTTTTATTAATTTAAAAATAGATAGTTACCTCCTGATTTTTGAATTTTAAACTTTATTCTCCTTATTTTTTTAATTGTAAACTTGAGAAGTAGGGTTTTGGGTAATTTTCTCAATAAAAAATTGGATTTGTGCCAGAGATGGATCGAACTACAGCCTGGTCCAATCACCCCATCTATCCCTGATATTAGGTTTATTAATTACATTTTCTTAATTTTTGTGAAAGTATAAGTGAGTCTATTTTTGTGGGATGGAAGGAGTACTAATTAAGGCATTTGCCAAATTCTTTCTTGTAACTATAATAAAGTTGAGATCTGCTTTTCATTTATACTGTCCAATTTGCTATTCATCCATTAACAAATTGACACATCATGAAAAATTAAAATTGATGTTAAGTTTGAAAAATTAAAATTGATAACAACTTTAGATTTCCATGATGTGTCAATTTGCTATTGGGTGTATAGCAAAAATTGATATCAAATCTCAACTCCTATAAAGAAGGACAAAAATCGAGAAAGCCTGGTTAAATGCAAAACTCTATTTTTTATGCCTCCACAATCCCAAGTTGGAAAGTAACCATTTCCTTTATCTTTCAATTTTTTATATAAAGGCAAATTTGTTGTTCTTAACTGCAGACGAAATCATAAAAGGAATACATCAACCTTATACATTGAACCTGGTGCATGTGAAGCGAAGAAAGTAAGAGTATAGGTCACCCTATATGCTGAACCAGAAAATAAAGTGAGACGAACTAACACTTACCTCATTCATTAGACTATATTCAATCCTGCTCCAAAATTTGCATCATTTTGCACCAAATGATACATCAAACTAAAAATTATCTCCAATCATTACATCAAAACTTATATCAAATGAAAAGTGCTAAATCATTTTCTTCGCTTTTTTTATTCTAAATAATTTATTTATTTGAAAAATTATTTATTTTACAAATACATAAATTACAAAATAAATAATTATGTTAAATTAATGAAAATATTAAATTATGCCATTAAAAAATAGTGCAATGCATTTCGAATTTGGATGATGACGATGATAATGAAAATTATTGTGTTAAAAAATATATATAATACAAATGATACAAATACCCTCCATAAATTACTTTGGCAAATATGAGTTTGCACCATTTTGCACCAAAATGTTGCAAACTTTAGTACCATATTGGAGAGCTTTTGCATCAAATTTTGGTGAAATTTTTTGTCTTGGTGCATCCATTGGAGATGCCCTTAGTGCTAAGATATCACCAAACTTTAAAATAAAATAAAAAAAAAAATAAAAAAGAAAATTTGAAGCTAAAGAAATGTCAAACTGCAGGGTCTGAATAATGAGTAGTGTATCGCAATCGACATTATCTATCACGGAAAAGAACTGTATTTCCTTTTAGTCAAATGAGGAAAATATGTTTTATTACATTAAAAGCACAAATCCCCGAAACGAGTTCATGGAAAATGTCAACACCACCATGCAAACCAGCCGCGCCCCGGGCACAGAGAAACTGCAAGGAAATTCCTAATTTTCCCCCAACTTTGAAATATTCAGCCTGCAATTATATATATAATCTTCATTGTCCGATGCGGAGTTGCTGGAAAGGTAAATTTCGTCGCCTACCATCTGCTCCATTGACTTCGATGCCATTTTAGGGTTTTTTTTAGATTATATGCATATTGTACAGTTTATAATATGTTTAATCATTGCAAGTTTCGTTTATTTTTTCCGAATTTAATGAGTAAACATCATTGACTTTAACTATTTTACTCGATGCGAATAAAATTATTTCGCCCACTTGTTTATAGTTTTCGATTAAATATCCAAGATGCTGCTTCTTCTTTTCCTCCTCTCTTTGCATATCCATACACGGATGAACATACACATGTAAAGAAGAGTTGAATAGCCTCAACGATTTCTTGTGTGGAGCAGAGCACTCGTTCTTTGAGGTATCACCTATCTGCTGCTTATGAAAATTATAGAAAGTTTGAAATATTTGACTGGATTTTAAATTTTTTACTTCTCCAATTTTCGCGAGGATGCAGTGGTCACATTTTGTACTGTAACTGTTTTCATAGACAAATAATTGAGTTCTCTCTTTCACATGTTTGGTAATATTTGTTCTTTTGAATTACTGTTAATTGTACTCCTGAATGTAGTAATGAAAAGATCCAAGTGATGAATAGTAATTTGGGTAACGGATCTGAAATCTTTTGGTAATGAGATTTAGTTTGCTGGTGTTGACGATTGAATTACCATTAATTTGTTAAGGTGTAAGGTTTCATTTTAAAAGATTAATCTTATTAAGAGGTGTAATCTAAACTCTTATAAGTTTGTTTATATTTTTATCTTTATTCGATGTGAGATTTTATTTCTTAACATGCCCTCGTAAGATGGTGGCTCATTTGAGCTGACCAATTTTGAAATTCGTATATTCATTTATTAAGGCTTAATCGGATCGAATCGCTCGTTAGAGTTTAATGAGCTCTGATACCGTGTTAGGACTTAGAGTTCTATCTTAAAAGGTCAACCTTATTAAGGGGAGTAATTCAAACCCTTATAAGTTAATCTATATTTTTATCTTTATTCGATGTAAAATTTATCCCTTAACATGCCCCTACAAGATGTGGCTCATTTGAGCAAACCAATCTTGAAATATGTATGCTCTTTTATTGAGACTTAATCCGATCAAATAACTCGTTGGAGTTTAATGGACTCTGATACCATGTTAAAACTTGGAGTTCCATCTTAATCGCCCAAAGCCTTATAAGTTGATCTATATTTTTAACTTTAGTCGATATGAAATTTTATCCCTTAACTTGTCCCTACAAAATGGTGAGTCATTTGAGCAAACTAATATTGAATTCCATATGCTCATTTTTCAAGTTTTAATCAAATCGTATTGCTTGTAGAAGCTTAATTGACTCTGATACCAAATTAAGACTTGAGTTGCTATCTTAAAAAGTCAATCTTATTAAGACGAGTAGCACAAAGTCTTATAAGTTGATCAATATTTCCATCTTTAATCGATGTGAAATTTTATCACTTAACATAATTAACTTGTTCTTGCAATGCAGTTGGCATGGATCACACATGATAAGTGAGATTTTGAGAAAAAAAAAGTTAATGATCAATTTCTTAGAAGAACCTATGATGATAGATTAAATAGCTAATTAATCTTGTTCTTATGCTTAAGTTATTTGGGAAAAGGAGATTCTTAGAAATTTTTGAATTTTTGTTTTTAAAATATTTAAGTTTTTACACTTTTCGCTTGTTTTTCACCATTTTCCCCCTCTTTGCTTTCTGTCTCCCAACTTTTCTCAAGTTCAAAATCTCATTCTTTTCCCAATACCATTTTTATTTATTTATATCAAATAATTTCATTTTCATACTTAGCTCATTTGCATTGACGCCTACGACCAACCATGCTTTTTCTCCACTGAACACCAGACTTTTCGAGCCCCTCACTCGACCTACAATTTGATCTAAGCAATTAGATTTGAGATTCGACGGTTGAATGATAATCTAATTGCATATTTAAGTACAATGAATTTGAAAATAATGACCACTATGTAATTATACGATAATTTCAAAGTATGAAGACGAGTAAACAATGTATGTAATAAAGCATCGAATTATTTCATTACTGTTATTGTTAGATTTTGAGTTGGCAATTCTGTGAACAAAAGGGTCAAATTGTAATTTTTCAAAAGTTTGGGGTTAATTTGTCAATGTTTAAAAGTTAGGGGTCAATCTATGCATGATTGAAAGTTTGGGGACTAAGTTGTAATTTTGCAAAAGTATGCTAGGGTTTGAGTTTTGGAGAAGCGCAAGAAGTGTCGTTGAAGTTTCGATAGCTACTCGCCAAGAGATTGCTCTAGCGTAAAAAATAGAGAGCTCGTCGCTAGCTTTTCGCCACTGCCTCGCTCGAGCAAAACAGTGTCACTCGCTTTTCTCTCGAGCGACAGTGTAACCTGCAAAACCCTATTTTGTTTTTTTTGAGATTTTGACCCGACCCATATGACCCAAAACATCTCATATAAATTTGATTGTGCCGTTTTTCAGTCAGTTTTCTTAGTGGATTGAACTTGGAGAAAACATTCCACGCCTTGATTTTTTCATTCGATCCCATATTCTCTTAGCGCAATCACACAAAAAAAATCAAATCCACTTTCATCAAATACTACAAAAATCCTTCGAGAGCATCTGCTGAGACTTGAAGATCAGGGCAGGAGATCGGGGTTCCGATCATTGAAGAACGGGGAGTTCTCTGAAATCCACAGGTGATAGACGAAATCAAGAGTCGGGAATTGGTATAAAGCACGCAATCTAGGAAGGCTAGGAGACAGGAGTTGGTGCAGGATTACGCATTCCAGGAGGGCTTCTGGGAAACTACAATCATGAGGTTAGAAAAACTAGTATGAGTTGAGTATGACAGATTGTAAGAGGTATTTTCGTTTATAGTGGATTCGTCCTGGCTTGGGCTGGAGTTTTATCTACATTGGGATCTCTCCGTCATCAAACAACTATGTTCTTTATATTTCTGTAATTTACTTGTTTCCAGAAATTCAACATAGGCTAGTAAAATATATGAATTGATCTGGACATATTAATAATTGTGACTTGTTAAATTTATTAATTAATTAGTTAAAATTTCACTTAAACACCTATTCACCCCTCCCCCCCCCCCCCCCCTCTAGGTGTTATTTGGGTCAAACTACATTATTTCAATTATTTTACTTGAATTTTTTTTTTAGTCTTAACTATACTCGAAAATGTCTCACTCCGCCACTACTTGAATGTGTTTAAGTATGAAGTTAGTGCTCATCATTGTCATACTCAACTTTGTTTCCGACTCGAAATTGTTAAGTACGCTGTTAGTGCTCATCCCAAATCAGAATCTAACCCTTCATGAGAATCATAGATGCTTCTGTCTTCTTAGCTCAGAATTGATTCCATTCCACAGTTGAGATCTTGGCCTTTTCTTCCTTGTCTTATACCTAAAAAGTAGTAGGCCATATTAAATGGACAGTTTTCTCAGGGCCGGGCATCATAATATAGAAACTTGGGGACTGAATGGCCTCTGAGAGGGAAATTTTCAGCCTTACTGGACCATCATACCTGACAACTATTGATTGGTGAGTTCATTTTTACTTCTATAATTAGAAATTTTAATATCTGCTTTGCACTTTACAACTATTAAGTCAAATATATTAGTTGAAGTCATTTAAAAACTTTATGAAGTCTAGTGTACATATTTCATTGTAAAATGGACAACTTTCATGGCTGTGTCTGCAGGAATAACTCACATCATCGGAAGTCCATTGCTGCGAGCCTTGTTCAGGGAGTCTACATACTTGAACGTGACCGGCAGCAAAACCGCCTAGGCCCTCAAGCTCTTGCTCCTCCATGGTGGGAATTCTTCAATTTCGTGTTGAACCAAGTTCTAGTGGATGAGGACGATCATTCATTCTTTGGCGCAATTTATGAATTGACATTCCACTATCCATATCCCAATCACCCGGGCGGCCAAAATCCCCCAAAATACGTGATAGCCTTCCGAGGCACAATCAACAAACCAGGCAACCGGTCACAGGATTTCAAGCTAGATCTTCACTGCTTTATGAATAATCTTCACAAGAGTTCCCGTTTTCGGGTTGGAATGGAAGCAACCCAGAACATTGTCTACAAAGCCGGACTGGGGAACGTATGGTTAGCAGGACATTCTCTAGGCTCATCCGTAGCACTACTAATAGGGAGAAACATGGTCAAGAACTGTATTCATATCGAAACTTATCTCTTCAATCCGCCATTCATGTCTCCTCCAATAGAAAGAATAAAAAACGAGAAGCTGAAACTTGGAGTGAGGTTTGCTAACAGTGTTCTCACAGCAGGGCTTGCTATTGCTGTCAATGGTGCTAATAAACCAAAGGCTTCACAGGACAATCCGTTTATCGTGTTATCTTCTTGGATTCCATACTTATTTCTAAATCCATCTGATCCTGTATGTTCCGAATATGTTGGTTACTTTGAACACAGGGCGAATATGGAGAAAATCGGTGCTGGAAAAATTGGAACGCTTGCAACTCAGCATTCGATAGGGAGCATCGTCTCAGCTGCACGTGGAAAGGATTCCGAACCACTGCATCTTATTCCTTCTGCATATCTAACGACGAATTTGAGCCCCTCAAAAAATTTCAAGGAAGCACATGGAATTCATCAATGGTGGAAGCCAGATTTGCAGTTTAAATACGAACTACACCAGTTCAAACATGACCACTAACAAGCCTCGACTGCAACTGTCTTGTGATACATTGCATTACAGACCTTTAGTCCCTTATTTTTTTGGCTTTTTTGCACACACATTAATTTCTCTATTAACCAGTGAATCATGAAACAAAATGTTTGCACTTGATATAAATATAACAATTTAAATAGTATGCTCAGACATGTCTAATCGGTATGCTTATGTTTGCTGTTATTGTGTTATTAATTTCAACAATACATTCATAACTACTTTAATTATTATTCCACACATCTTCTTATAGTATATTTATTAGTGAAAGACAAATATACACTTGCAACCTAGTTTTATTACTATTGTATCCATTGTAACCCTAATTCTTCCCTATAAATGTGGAGCTTTAGCTTTCAATAAAATATATGCAAGTCTATTGATTTATCTTATTCTCTTCTTTTATTCTCTCTATTTTATAACACGTTATCAAAACGATTATCTAAAATTATAGTAATTTAGTTTGAACGTAGTCTATATCCAATCTCAAATCATACGCGTTATTTTTTTTATTGTTGCATACACGCATAGTTAATTTTCAACGCAGCATACTTGCATAATTCCAAAATTTTGATTTTTGGAATATTTCATCTGTTTGCATCCAAAATCTGCACCCAAATTCCAAGCAATATTGGAATCCAATCAAGTGCACGTATGTCTTTCTTTTATTTTTCGTAAAATTGAGCACATATAGAGCATGTATATCTATCTTTTACCTGTCTAAACTAGCCAGTACCTAACGGGTCCTCTTTTAAATTAAAAGATTCTGTACCCTGTTTAAATTAAATTGAGCACGCAAATTTTGAATGCATATTTGTTTTAATTTTGTTAATTTTTTATTCTTGTTTATCGTTCAATTAATTATCATGCATTGCAAAATTTATGATTTTGCTCCTGCAATAGCATACTATTATTTAAATATATTCTAGCTAGATTTTACTTGGTATTTAATAGTACAATTAAATGCGATCTAAAATATAGTTTTACCCCCCCGAAGAGTAAGTCCTTGTATAATTTACTATAATAATATGTGATTGCTCCAGAATAGCATAGATAAAAAAATTTTCAAAAGAATATTGATATTACTTCTAAAAAAAAGTAATAGTAAAATAAAAATGCTCTCAAGTAACACATATTTTGAATAATACATTATTTTGATTTAGTGTTTGAATCCAAAAAATCGTAATAAATGCGAGACCAAAATTGTTGGAACGTCGTAATTTTCTTTTACTCATTTTTTTTTGAGTAAATAAGCAAATTTATCGCAGACTAAATCATAAAAGGAATACAATCAACCCAACACATGGAAATCGAGGCATAAGAAGCAAAAAAAGTGTTTGGAAAATATATTAAATTGTGAATGAAAAATTGTAACAACAATACCTTGATTTCAAATTTCAATTCTCTAATTAATTTTGTATTGAAATTGTTTTGATGGCTATTGAATTGGACCCTTCACGTGACCAACCGATAGCCACTCCACGTATTCCTCCCTACGCACAATCAACGCATGGTCAGATGCACACGACCGGAACCAGTGGAGGTGGCGGCGGCCGTATACACTCCAACGGTCAAGTTAGACTCAAGTGATCGGAACAGTATCAAGGTTGTGCAAAATAGTGGAGAGGAGAATATATATATATATATATATATAGGAGTGTTAAGTAGTAAGAGTTTCATTACATTTGCCTCTTGTCAAGTCTTGGGTATTTATAGGTGAGGAGAACTGTTGGATATGGGACACGTGGATACATCTATGTTTACTTACTATGGAGTGCTAAATAGTAAGAGTTTCATTACATTTGTCTCTTGCCAAACCTTGGGTATTTATAGGTGAGGAGAACCGTTGAATGTGGGACACGTGTATACATCTGACGGTATGAGGCGTCTGCTTATAAGCGTCAATTAGCCGCGTCTATAGAGTGGACGGGTAATTACTTCTCCCGAGTTGAGTTGACATAAAGTTGATACGGTATGAGGCTAGTTGATGTGACGTATCAACTTTATGTCAACTCAATTCGGGAGAAGTAATTACCCGGCCTCATGAAGATGTCAAATCACTTTAAACCATAGGGACAGAAAAGACCTTGACAAAGATCTCATTCTGAAATTGGCGCACGGATCCTCTGACAGAGGTCCCCGGAGTGCATTTTGCCTCGGATTCAAGGGCGAGGGCACTTCGGCCAGTCCCGCAGAATTGCCTATGCCTCGAAGTGTGATAGCAGATCGTCACCATTTGTGAAGTCACTTCGAAACCACTTCGGATGAGTGTTCCACACCTCGCATGATGTGGTGGTGAACTTTTCGAAATGGTTCAGATAAGGGCGTAACAGTGGTCCCCCAAGTCCAGGTATGAATATTTATATCATGGGTGGATTTATCTTCCCGATCGGGTATGTATGCCTCGGGATGGGGACCGTGATTTGTGAGAACTTCAGGGTCGATCTTCTGTGTTCGCCGAAGCGTTGATCTTAGGCAGATACGCTAAAGCTTCGCTACTACGTGAGGGAAAAATTTATGTGAGATCGAGGTGCTGCCCAACTAGACGATGCGTAGGGAGACGGTCAACGCAGGGACCGAGGCGATGACCCACAAGGAACTCCGCGTCAGGTGCGTTTACACTTTGTAAAGTTGAGTGAAGAGCTCATCTGCACCGGTGTGCTGACCCAAAGGGGACAACGCGTTGGGATAGCTAAAACTTTGTAAAGTTTAGGAGGGAACGCAGCGACCGAGGCGATGACCCACAGGGGACTCTGCGCCAGGTGCGTCTAAACTTTGTAAAGTTGAGTGAGGAGCTCATCTACCACCGGTACGCTGACCCACAGGGGACGACGCGTTGGGAGATGGCTAAAACTTTGTAAAGTTTTGGGGGGAACGCAGCGACCAGGCGATGACCCACAGGGGACTCCGCGTCAGGTGTGTCTAAGCTTTGTAAAGTTGAATGAAGAGCTCATCTGCCACCGGTGCGCTGATCTACAAGGGACGACGCGTTGGGAGATGGCTAAAACTTTGTAAAGTTTAGGAGGGAACGCAGCAACCGAGGCGATGACCCATAGGGACTCCGCGTCAGGTGCGTCTAAGCTTTGTAAAGTTGAGTGAGGAGCTCGATCCGAGGTGGACATATCTGACGTTAAATGATTTGAAAGCTGCTGCGTATTTTCAAGGTGACAGTTGGGTGCAACGCCCATTCCCAGAAAAGGCTGCTGCGGCTACTTATTGTTGACGGCTGGTGGTGATCAAGGTGACGCGTTTTATACGAGCGTGAGGCGTTTAAATTCATACATTTCACATAATGTTTGCTTTAAATTTCTATATGTGATAGGTGTATCAAATGTTAAGGCGTTTGAAATTTGATCAATTATATATTTAGTTCCCGATAAATTATATCGGAGGTCCATCACGCATGCTAAAAGAAATAACATAGGCAAATCTTCCCAATATTTTCTAAATTTTAATTCCATAGCAATTATAATTTCACTAAAATCAGGATCATTTCTGTATTTATGAAATGTTCTTGCAATTATATAAAGACGTTCAAGCACCATACAGCTGGTGGGATAGGAAACGCCCGATAAAATTTTAGTGGTTTCATAAAAAAAATGTCAAAAATTTTTTAACTTTCAAAGCTAAATACCAATCATGTTCAGTCAACATACCCTCGTCATCACTTCTAACATGTCTGTTGTTATAAAAGTCAGTTATTAAATGTTCAAAATCTTCACATGACTTTAATAACAAGTAAGTAGAGTTCCACCTATGACATACGTCGTTAACAAATGTTTTAGCATTTTGCACTCCTATTTCGACACAATAATCCTCAAATGCTTGTTTTCTACTTGGAGAGATTGTGATATATATTAGTGCGTTCCTAATATTTTGAAATTCATCCTTTATATATTTTAAACTATTTTGGACAATTAAATTCAAAATATGATATACACAACGAATATGAAACAAATACCCAGCAAAATCAGGTTGTAGTACCCTATGCAATTTTTCAGCAACTACTTTATTAATACTAGCATTATCGAAAGTAAATGATACATTCGCAATGATATTCTCTAACAATACTAATAATAGCATTAAATATATTATTAGCGTTGTGAGGAAACTCAATAATTCTAAAAGTAATAATTTTTATATGCATGCACCAAAGTTGGTCTATATAATGTACAGTTGTAGATATATATGCTCTTTTATTAATCTCTTCACATATATCTGATGTTAAAGATATGACACCCCCATATTTTTGCAAATTCATAATTAATTATTATTTTGTTGAAGTAAAATATTGTATCGTATCAAAATGAAGAGTGTTTCGACTTACCCCAACGTACCTTGGCTGCAGATATTCTTTCACTTACGAGACGTAGTGTTAGTTGTCAGTTAATGCCAAAGGCAACTCAACACCAGCAACAAGTTTCACCATTCCGGTTCGAGCTTTCTCCTCCGAATACACCCATGTGGATAGGGGTGCAGTAGAACCACCGACGTCTGGACTGTCAAATTGCAATTGTGTTTGACAGCCTGGAATAAGTCCGTGTTTGGCCGTACATACTTTGTAATGACGGTTGAGATGGGTGTTACCAATTCCTCTTTCCCATGTCAATCTTTGTTGGCAGTATTTACATATTACTTTGGATTCTTGGACTCCATTGATGATTTTTTCGGTTGAAATCAACTTAAAGTGATCCCAACATTTTGCTTTTTTTTCCCCTTTCGCTTTCCCCTCGCATCAGGAATATTTAATTCAGCATCTTCTTCCTGATCATGTTTCGCTTCGGGAACGTCAACATCATCCAAATTAATTGGATAATTTGGATTGCCGCTTACATGATGTTGAAGATCCAAATCTGTAATATTTTCAGGTAGGGATACATCATTTAGACCTTCAAATTGATTTTGAAATTGACTTTGCGGTGCCATAGACGATTCGTTTCCTCCCACACTGAATAAGTTTTCGACAAATGAGCGTGGATCCATTGTTTAGTTGTAATAAGTAATAACTAGTATAAGAATAATTGTATAAATGTAGTGAGAAATGAAAATTGGATGAAATTTCAATAAATATAGTGAGATCTGAGAAATGAGAATTGACTATTGTATAACTTGTGTATAAAAATTGCAAGTTATCAATACAATACAAGAAAGTTGAGAGAAAGATAATTGAGAGTTGAGAGAATTGTAAAAAATTTTGTGGCTAAATGCCTCTATTTATAGAAGAAGAAAAGAA